ATCCCACAGCACATCCCATTATTACCCACAGAATGCCGAAGATAGTTATCTTAATCCAGTGCATGTGCATTTCGGCTTCGGTGATTGGTTTAGGCTGTGGTTTGTCAGGCTCTGGCGTAGTAGCCGTGAGGCGCCTGACTGGCACGGGATGCAGGTGGCCCCGCTGCGGGTAGCCCCGCAGGGTGACCACGTTCTCGATCGAGTTGCCGATTGGCATCTGGTGGAAGTCGGGAGTGAAGTGGCGCAGTGAAGTAGGAGAGAGCGTCTCGAGTTCGCGGGTTGCCCCGCTAGCTCGATCGCGGACTGGCTCCGCTCCTCGCAGAGCCGGCGCAACATGGTATTCCACCGTAGTAGTAGTCCACCAAGTTGTGCCGTGGATTACAGGAATCAGAGCGAGAGCCAGCCACACGAGAGTGTAGCCAGCTCCGCTACCAAGTCGAAAACAAGCTGGTAAGCTTAGGTATGTGTTACGCTTTAAGCGTTGCCATATCCCAGGCTTTGGCTCATATCGCATGAGCAAGAGAGCAAGACGAAGCATGGGATCTGGAGTAAAGGATAGGATGGGCATCGTCAATGGAAAAGGTATTTTCCGATCTCAGATACAAGTCGTGCGCCTCGGTGAGGCACAATCACATATTTGGCCGGGCCCGGCTTGAGCCAGGCACGGCAGCGGTACATGCTCGATTTATACCTCGCCTTTAACCTTCTCCGTTTAAAGTCAAGACAGCCCGAGATGCCTCCAGGGGTGCCCAAAAGGGCCATGAGCGGACCTCCAACAAGGCCTGAAGAAGCCTAAATCAGTGATGTCTCTTTGTATGTGAATCAGCTTCGCATGTTTGCCTTTATCGGGCTCATCAGGCCCGAAAACCTTCCACAATGGCCCAAAGACGGCCCAAGGGGCCCCCATGAGGTTCCAAAGATGGGCCACGAGGGCCCCACGAGGGCCTAAGACGCATTCGAGCCGGCCCCAAGACGGCCCATGAGGGCCTCACGTGGAACCCAAGACGGCCTTAGAATCAGGGGCGCGCAAACATGGATTAGCGATCCATGGTTTTGGCGCGCGGTCGCCAAAACCATGGATCGGGGGAGGTGCCCTCCCCAAAATGCAGCCGGTGCCGCCTCGTTCGGCGTCGGTCCGCGATTCCCCTATGGAAACAGGGCCCGTCGCTAATCCACACCTCATTGATCCATGCTTGCGATCGCCTGATAGAAGGCCCGTCGACTGCCCAATACGGCGCCCAGACGGTCCCATGACGGCCCCCAGAAAACCACCAAACTGCCAAGAGCGCTGGCAGACGGCGCAAGAGAGGCCAAAGACGGCCTGAGCGAGCGCCGAAACTGATCCAAGAGAGCCCCAAGGGACCCCCCAGGCCGCCTCGCCGGAGGTAGAAAGAGCCCCGATACAACCCGAACGACTTGCAAGATAACTCCTCTAATAACGGGGCGAAAAGTGTAATTTGTGCTGGCCTTCCTCCTCCTCCTCCTCCTCCTCCTCCTCCTCCTCCTCCTCCCCTGCTCCATCCTCCTCCTCCTCCTCCCCTCCCTCCTCCTCCCTCCTCCTCCTCCTCCCTCCTCCCTCTCCTCCTTCTCCTCCTCCTCCTCCTCCACCCTCCTCCTCCCTCCTCCTCCTCCTCCTCCTCCTCCTCCTCACCCTCCTCCTCCTCAGCATCAGAATCATCGGCAGCAGCAGCATCACCAGCACCAGATTATCATCACCACCACCAGCAGCATGATCGCCATCATCAGCATCCGCAGATTATCATCACCACCATCAGCATGAGCATCATCATCAGCAGCAGCATCATCACCATCATCAGCACAATCGCCATCATCATCATCAGCAGCAGCATCAACATCGTCATCGTCATCGTCATCGTCATCATCCTCAGCACCATCAGCATCAGCATCAGCATCATCATCACCATCGTCATCAGCAGCATCCTCATATCCACAATCATGTTCACGCTCATTATCATCGTCATCATCAACCGCATACGCATCCTCGTCCTCATCCTCAGCAGGTTCCTCCTCATCATCAGCAGCACCACCATCTTCGTCAGCATCATCATGTTCATCAGTAACATCATTAGCATCATAGTATCCATCATAATAGGTATCATCGGCGATATCACCATTGCTATATCATCATCAATATCATCATCATCACCACAATCATCATCATCACTATCACCATAATCTCCATCACCATCATCGTCATTGTCAAATTTAGCATCATCATCAGCAGCATCATCAGCATAATGGTCATCATCAGCTTCATCTCCATCATCACCATCAGCAGCATCATCATCAACAACATCATCATCACCATCACCACCATCATCACCATCATCAGCACCATCATCATCATCATCAGCATCAGCATCATCGTCGTCGTCATCGTCATCGTCATCATCAGTATGATGATGATCACCATTAGCACCATCAGTTCATATCGTGGAAGTGTCGAAGGGGAGCAGGTGTGGGTTGGGCAGGATGACTAGGAGGACGAGGAGCCCAGCGTAGAGAGGGGAGTCCCCTACACGTCCTTACATAAAGCCCAGCGCCGCGTCGGGCGGGGCGGGGGAGGGCGGGGAGACAAGCTTGGAGACACGAGGTGCCGCGCGTGACGGCCCCCTGTGCCACCCTGAATGCTGGGCTGGCACGGTGGTGAGACTTGACGCAGGCAGCTGGATAGCCAGAAGCATGGATGACAGCTCCATTAAAAACACGGGGCCTTCGCCTGAGTTGCAAGGCCATGGGCTCGTCTTACAGGGAGAACGTCTCGCTTCGAAGCAGAACTTGAGTAGGTGCTTACCAGGAAACTTCGTACGAGTGGGCGTTTTGTAACATCGTTGATGCATCTGGGCCTTCCTCTGGTCTTCCGCCTTTTCTCCTCGCTCCACCGCACAACTCCTCGCAACTCCACCCCTCCTCATTATGAAGAACACCTCCACGTGACACCACCATGCGCGTCGATAGGGCGGGCAGGGCGTTTCGGCTGCAGCTTCCTCGACGCTGACACGAAGCCTGAAATCCACCACTGGTAAACGGATGGATGGCCCGCGGTTTCCGGGAAACAAAAGAAACATTGCGACACAACAATGTAAAAAACCACGGTTCAACATGAATGCGGAGCTTCCCTAAAATCTTCCAAATAACGGAATTCCAACACGTGAAACTGTGAAACGGCTACCCGGGTGGAAGGATGTTCATTTTCGAAACAGGCCTCTTACTGGACGCGTTCTTCCATGTGTCTGTCTGACCCTACTGATTCGCATCCTTCATTGATCGAACGATGGAGGGGCGGCGCCTGTTTTTCAAGGAGCCGCCCCCAGCACTGAAAGTGGATAGTTACTCGCAGGGACTTGCGGAGGACTTTGGGGCATGGAGTGGATCGCACAGCCGCTGGGACATCCTGAGCTCTCTCTGATTATCCGCCCCATCCTTCCACACCCACTCCCCCAATCACCGCGCGCGCGCGCGCCCCTGCGCAAGCGGAAGTGGAGCGCGCGGGGGGTGGGGGAGTGGAAGGTGGAAAGACAAGGACGGGTAGGAGGGGAAAGGGAGGGAGGGGCGGACGAGGCGGGGAAAGCGGGGGTAGAAACAAGAGGGAAAGGAGGAGGCGGGAGGGGGAGCTGAGGATGAAGGGAAAAGGGCGGAAAAGGAGGAGCAAGAGTTTGGCTTGGCTCGGGTTGGCCCTAAAGGCAATCCAAAGAAGAAACTAGCCAGCATCGTCCGAAACCTCCTCGAGATCAGAATCCTCCGAGGCGGGCGACGCTCGCTGAATCGCTTGCCGACCCATTGCGAGCACTCGCCGGCTGTCCTCGACTGTCAGCCGGAAAGCTTTGAGCACTTTGTCCCGCTCACCCACCTCCCCCCGCCCCCAAGTCGAACGAGACAGGGCCAAGTCACTACAGGGGGCCGCTGCCGCGTCAGCTTGCACCCGCATGCTCTCTTTGACTGCTGGCAGCGCCACGTGTGGGCGGGAAAGAAGCAAGTGCTTCACCACTGCTCTGTAATGCGGGATCTCATCTTTGTCAATCCGTCGCAATGATCCTGGGTGCCCTTACCCACTCGGCCAGAGCACCCTTCAGAAGTCTACGCCGTCAGCTTGCAGTCCGAGCTCAATGCTCCGCAACGGCAGCAAAAAAACAATGACCTCTGGGCTCGTGACTTCTGCCTCGGCCTGCAGCAACAGGTGTTGCCCCCACCTGAAGCGCACCGGAGAACACTCCTCCCACCCAGGCCCCGCGGACACCCCAATCCTCCACCGCGAGAACTCCAGGATCCTCGGGCGGCTCCTGGTCGGGCCGAAAGTCGGGGCCGGCGGGGCATTCGGCGGGAGGATTGAGCAGGGACCGACCGTCCCGGCATTCCTATAGTCCTACCACGAAATGTTCTTAGAACCCCAAAATGCTCTAAGAACAAAAACAATGTTCTTAGTAAATAAACCCGATGTGTTAAAACAAGACAATCCCGGCCAGAAATGTTCTAAGAACATTTCGTGCAGACCACAAAAGGTTCTTAGAACATTGTTTGGTGGGGCTATACGGGGGAGGAAGGGGGCTGGCTCCGGCGCCGAGCGAGACGAGGCACTCGTGGCCCTGCCCGGCCGCCTGGAGGCGTGCCCCTGCGGCCCGAGCGGCCGACCCGCGCGGCGCGCCCAGTCAAAGGGGGGAGCGGCGGAGGGAGGGGGGCGAGGACCAAGGACGAGCGAGGGAGGAGGCAGGAGGAAGAGGAGGAGGAGGAGGAGGAGGAGGACGAGCGAGGACGAGCAAGGGAGGAGGAGGAGCGAGGACGAGCGAGGACGAGGACCAAGAACGAGCGAGGGAGGAGGAGGACGAGCGAGGACGAGCGAGGACGAGCGAGGACGAGGAGGAGAAGGAGGAGGAGACGAGCGAGGGAGGGGGGCGGACCGGGGCGAGAAGGAAGAACGCTGCTCGGGCGGCGCGCCGCACTGCGACCGCCTCCCCCCCCCTCCCTCCCCCCCCGGGCGGGGCTTGAGCAGCGCGCAGGCCGTCTCGAAGACCTCCGCCCGCAGGCCGCGGTCGAAGGCGCCGAGGGCCACCATCCGCTCCAGCAGCGCGAACTCGTTGATCCTGGAAGAGAGGCAGGGACCGGACTTCACCCTCCCCACTTCCTCCTCCTCCTCCTCCTCCTCCTCCTCCTCTTCCTCCTCCTCCTGCTCTTCCTTCCCTTCCTCCTCCCAACCTCCTCCCTTCCTCCTCCCAACCTCGTTATCCTCCTCTGTCTCGTCGTCCTCCTCCTCGTCTCCTCCTCCTCCGCCTCCTCATCCTCCTCTTCCTCCTCCTCCTCCTCTTCATATCTCTTTCTTCCTCTTTCTCCTGTTACTCCCGTCTTCCTCCTTTTCCCTTACTTTTCTTCCTCATGTTCCCGTCGTGCTTGTACTCGTCGTCCTCCTCCTCCTCCTCCTCCCGCATGTCCTCCTTGTTGTCCTCCTGCTCCTCCTCCTGCTCTTCCTCCTCCTACTCCTAATTCTCCACCATGCCTCCCTTTCCTTTGAATCCTGGATTCCCCTTCCCTTCCCTTCCTTCTCCTCCTCGTCCTCCCTTCCTCATGTTCTATCTCTTTCTCCTCCTCCTCCTCCTCCTCCCCCTCTTCCACCACCACCTCCACCTCCGTCTCCTCCATTCCTCCTTCACCTCTCCCTCATCTTGCCACTGCTCCTGCTCCTCCTTCCTCCTCCTCCTCCCCCTCCTCCTCCTTTGCCTCCCTGCCTCCTCCACCTCTTCCTCCTCCTCCTGCTCCAGCTCCTGCTATTCATCCTCCTCCTACTTCTCCTCCGCCGCTTCTTCCTCCACCTCCTCCTCATCCTACACATACATTGTTCCTTTTCTGTGTTGTCTTCTCTTGTTTCTCATCCTTTTCGTCGTCGTCCTCCTCCTACAGTTCTTTTCCGTATGATTTACTGCCCCCTGTCAAACCCCCTTACCATCTGCAAGCCTCAATGTGAAAACTGGCAGCAGCTTCGCAGGTAGAGATCGGGCGGCTTTCTAAATATAGCTCTCGCCTTGGGGCCGCGCACATCCGTTTCAAACAATTGCAATAGCTTCACGGATTGAGGACAGGTAGTTTTCAGAATGTGGCTCTCGCCTTGGCGCCGCGCGCATTCGTTGCATATATATAGAGATAGATTAGAATGAATAATGTTAAGGATTGACGGCGGGTGCTTTTCAAAATGCGGCTCTCGCCTTAGCGCCGCGCACATCCGTCGCAAAAAGGCAAGAGCTTCAGGAATTGAAGGCGGGCGGTTTTCAAAATGTGGCTGACGGATTCAGAGCGGGTGGCTTCCAAAATATGGCTCTCGCCTGAGCGCCTCGCGCATTCGTTGTAAAAAAATGCAAGAGCTTCAACGATTTAGAGCGGGTGGATTTCAAAATGTGGCTCTCGCCTCATCGCCGTGCACGTTCGTCTTAGATACATGCAATAGATTCAAGGATCGAAGGCGGTTCCTGTCAAAAATGTGGCTCTCGCCTTAACGCCGTGCACATTCGCATAGATGCCAGTGGTTAACGTGGCAGAATTGGTGTTTGGAACGATTCGGTATCGTCAAGGCGCAACTATTATGTTGATTCACCATTTGGGGATTGAAATCCCAAAAATGGTGTTCTGGCACGGTTCAAGATCGTCGAGGCGCAACAATCACATTAACTCGTGGCGTCGAAGTTACGAGAACGATGCTCTGGCGCGCAAAAGATTTTCACGCGGCTGTCCCCCAGCGGAACAATTTCCTCAGAGGGAATGAACCCTTGTAGGACCCTACGAGGAGGCAGCTTGGAGGGAGGGTGTGTTCCAACATCCTTGACGAGTCCTGGGTTTACACTGGTTCTCATCCACTTCCGCTTCCTCCTTCTCCCCCCTCTGTCCGTCCTGTTCCTCCCGCTCCTGTCCTGCTCAGCACCGTCTCTGGAGTCAATCCTGCGGAAAAAGGCTCCAAAGCCCCTCGGACTGCCTCCTCTTGGGCGCCTCCCGGGGCCCTCTTGGCATCTCCTGGGCCCGCCTGGGAAGGTCTCCCGGGTCGACCCCGGGGCCTCTCGTGCCGTCTTGAGGCGATGCTGGATCCTCTTGGGCCGTCTTTGGCGGTCAGAAGCTGGAACAACAGACAACGCTGGAACCCACTGAAGTTGCACCAGCAAGACAAGTTGCCTTGTCCGCTGGGGGCTGGAGCCATCTTGGGCTCTCGACGCCCTCTTGGGCCGTCTCGGAAGCCTCTTGGGCTGGGCGTTCTGGGGCACCCCAGTGGTGGTACTCCTGCCGTTTGGTCGGTCGCCTGGACGCATACCAGGGGGGCCCCCTCGGAGGTCTCCTGGGGACTGCCTGGAGCCGTCGGGCCGTCTCGGGGCCATCTTTGGCCGACCATCCTTGGGCCCGCTCGGGGCCCGGCTGGGCCGTCCCTTCTTGGCGATGCGCTGAAGGTTCCCGGGGCCTCCCAAACCAGCCGGGAGACGCTCCACAGAGAGAGGTCTCGGAGACTCGTGGGCCGCGCGCCGGACCGGGTGGTGGTGTTCCTGCCGCCGTCTGGTCGGTCGCCTGGACGCACGCTCGAGGGTCTCCTGGGCCCGCTCGGGGCCCAGCTGGGCTGTCTGGGGGCCTTCTTGGAGATGCGCTGGGGTCCCAGGGGCCTCCCAGACCAGCCTGGAGACGCTCCAGAGAGAGGTCTCGGGGACTCGTGGGCCGCGCGCCGGCCCGGGCGGTGGTCTTCCTGCCACCGTCCGGTCGGCCGCCTGGACGCACGCTCGAGGGGCCGCCTCTGGTAGGTCTCCTGGGGACCTCTCCCGTCCTCGAGCCGAGGAGGAGGATGCTCGCACTCGTGCTCGCCCCGTCGGCACCTTCGAAGAGAGTGAGGAGGTGGAGAGACAGAAGCATTCGGTGACGGCTCACGGGAGCCTCCCATACCATCCTGTCGGCCCTTGCGAATCGAAGGGAATCGACGCAAAAATCGGCGCTAATCGACGCTGAATCGACACTTACCGATGATAAATCGGCGCTATATCATCGACCCCAGAGCCTAATCGACGCTAATCAACGCTACCAACCGAATGGAGAGGGTGGAGGGATAGCTCTGGAAGGCCGCCTCCCCTTCCAAGGGAGGGGGGGACTTCAAGCTGGGGCCCCCCTCTTAGTGAGAAGCGTGCCACGAACGCGCTCCTTCATAGTCAGCGACGTGGACAAAACTCCCAGACGTGAATCCAACAACCCACAAACATTCTTGGATCCCCCCACGAGGCGCCATTTGCGAAGGGCCCACCAGAGGGCTCAACACATTGGGCCCCGGCTCGAGAGGACTGAAACACTTGAAGGCGGCCCCAACCCCACGGAGCCCGCTGTCATGAGCGCCGAGCCTCCCGAAGCATCCTCAAAAACCGCGAAGGACCCCGAGGAGACTGGCGACCGAAGCACTCCGGTCCTATTAGGCACTAACCCCTGAGAAGATCCCTGGCCCACGGTTCGACTGAAGGTGTCTGAAATAGAGGAAAAAGAACTATGCACATACACCGATTCTGGCCAGGCCCATCCTGAGCCCAGGGTCGGTGCATACGCCCTCCTACCTTGGCCAGGAAGGCATATGCACCGATCCTGGGTCAAGGATGGGCCTTGCCAGGATCGGTGCATGTGCATATTTTGTTTCGCCCGAATACACACACACATGGGCCAGAGCCCCGCAACCAAGAGCACGGAAGCGCATCTTGCCCGGCTGGGGCCCGCGGAGGCAGATCATGACGACTCAGAACATGCAGCAGGACCCTCTTCTCGGGCGTCCAGGCGGGGCGCGCGGCCGCGCCGCGACTGTCGCGGCACCGCGAGCGCACGCCTGAATAATAGAGTCTGGCATCGCGGCTACGGGCCTTCGGGCAAAAAAAACTCCAGCAGCGATGCGCGCCAGGAGCTCGGTAAAGGCTGCCGCCCTTCCCCGCGCCCGCTGGAGACCCTGGGCGAGCTCGCGGCAGGCCAGGCAGGAGCCACAAGGGAATGGAATCGCCGACGGGCCACATCCCCCCGTCCATGGACAACATGTTCCACGGCGTGGGCCCTCGCTCGCCAGAAGGCGGCCAAGTCTTCCCGCGAGTTGCTCGAGCTCGCGCCCTGCCGCCGCGAAAGCGCGCGCGCCTGCCCCCCACCCCCCCGCCCCCGCGCTCCGAGCCCCTCCGCCCCCTCCGGAATAGGGTACCGAACTCTATAAAACACCGGAGCTCTTTCCGGCTCCAGACCGAAACTCGCACAAGAAAGCGGATCCTGATGTATACGGGATCTTGGTGTATACACTTGCCGCTGTTTCCCTTGGAGAATGCGGAAACCGGTATGCACCACACGACCCCGACGTCGTCCCCGACCCTAACAAAGTCCTGGGATTGAAAAACGGCCCGCCACTGGCAATGTATATGTTCCAGTTTCCGGCGAAGGACGACGGCGCGGGATGGCGAGCGGTGGCCGTGCAGGCGGCAGCCGTGGTCGCCAGGGCACACGCGCTGCCGCGGGCCCACCCGGGCGCCCTCGCGCAGATTCGCTGGGAGCCGACCGCGAGCGGGCTTCGGCGAGGGCGGTGCCCTGCCTCTGCGGTGAAAAGCACACTTGCTCGATCCTCGGGGGGGGGGGCGTCTCCCCGCGCGCCCTTGTCTCGGATTCGCGGGGTGCCGCTTCCCCCCGTGGTGAGGGCCGAGGCGGACTGTTCGGTGCTCCGCCGCCAGGGCCTGAGCGGCTCCGAGGTGAGGGCTGAGGCGGACTGTTCGGTGCTCCGCCGCCAGGGCCACAGCGGCTCCCAGAGGTCGGACGTGCACCGCGGCTTGGAGCACTTGCCTGTCAAAACAAATTCTTCGCAGAGGTTGCCAGCAGGAGAGCCCAGCATCGAATCGGTAAGTCGAATCGGCGATCGAAATGAATCGGATCGGCGGACATCGGCAGCCGAGTCAGGAAAAGTCGAATCGGCAGACATCCGCAATTCAATGCGCCTCCATTGAGAAATCGGACCCCTAATCGGAATCCCAAGTCGAATCGAACCGGAAATCGAATCGGATCGAATCGGAGGAATCGAAATGGGCCCTGTTGCCAGCCCCCAGCCTGCGTGCCGGTCGGCCCTGTA